TATATATATCCCTCTCTCTGTCTCTCTCTCTTGTGTGTAAGTGTAACGGTAACAGTTAGTGTTAGCTTGTTAGATCGAGCTAGTGTTAGCAAAAAAGCAGTCGTCTGATTCCGCTGCAACACGAACCAATGGCCACTCGCTGTCAAGATCTCTGACTGCTTTCGCGCGCGAAGACCCGGAGTCCCCCCCAGTCCTCCCCTCTCCCTCACTAACAGATCTCTCACGCAGTGTTAGTTGCGTCCCTCCCTCCCTCACCACTCCCCGCCAGCGCGCGCAATCTTGTTTCGCCGCTCCTCCCCCCACAACACACTGAAGTCACCACGTGGAAACTGCCTGCTCTGCTAGCCTACTGCTATTCTACAGTGTTTTCAAAGAGAGCCGTGGATGTGTGTGTATGTTGTGTGTGTAACGGAGGGACTCCATGACATCAACTTTTTGCCAAAAAAGACCACAAGATTTTGATTACACTTTGTTGTATGCCGACATTTTAGGAGGATCTTTTTTTCTTGTGATTTGTGGTGTGTACCCGCGTCATCCAGCCCTTTCACCTTTCTCCTTTGTTGATGTTTTCAGAGATCGTATTTTTAGCTCACTCACATGTCCGACAAGTAGCCTTTCCTAGACCTCGTTGTGTCGAGCACTGCCCCACACTAGTCTGTACCTGTATCCTTCCTCTTCGTTTGGGGTTGTAATAAATTCAGAATAGTGTGAGAACGAGTAAAATCGCGTTGTTTTAACTTCCCTGATTTCGAAACTTTGTTTCTAATAGGTCTATTCAATATTATAATGACTCATTTGCATACAACGTTGTTTTTATACTGTTTGTTCTCTCTTGTGAGTGAGGGGGGGGGGGGCAGCTATGGGTTTCTGTCACGCCTGCTTATTTCATGGTTCCTCTCCTTGCCATATGGCACGCTCCACTGCTACAACGTACACACTGCTTTCTTCCTATGGTGATGCAATGACATGTCAACATTTTTTTGCTCTTGTGGGGCCGAACAGTTTCCTTTCTTTCTTTTCCTTTTGATTCTGATTCATTCAGGAAGTAGTGGCCGGTGTGCTATGCTATATGGAGGCTGCCCAGTTTGTCACAATTTCATTAAAGTATTTGAGTATTGATGACTCTCATAATGAGGCCTCAGCACTTTAACACTGTAGACTAGTTGTAACTTAAGTTCTTTATTCTCCACCTTCAAATTGGTGGTGTAAAGATAGTCCCTCTTAAAAAATGTCAATTCAGTTTGTGTTGTTCAATATTTATATGTCTTCATTTTTGTATGCAAATCAAAGGAAATTTAAATTACTCTGTCAAATTTCAGCCATGAATGTTCTTTCGTTTAAAAACAATTGAAAAATAAAACATTTAATTTATACAATCAACAAATCATTCATTTTCTCTTTTTGAGAGTGCCCAGTAATAACATCCATCATGCAGGGCACGGTCAAGGCCTGTGACAAACTAGAATGCTTCCATGCTATGGCTATGGCGCCACATTTTCTTTTTGAATTAAATTTCTTTCATCTTTGTTTTAAATTGATATATCGTCACCTCAGAACTGTTTTGGGTTTTTTTTCACTTATAATGCACCCGTCTCATGTTCACGTTTTATACTTCTTTTCTAGTAGTATTTTGCATGCTAAACACGAATATGGTCTTCATTTTTGCCACAAATCGATAGTTATTGAGTTATCAAATGATGTTTGAAAATAGTAAATTTAACAATCGACATGGGGGACATGCCCTCCTGACGTAAAAAGAATCAGGGGTGTTTCAGGGGGGGCATGCCCCCCTGTATTTCACAATGATTTGATGTTTTGGCAATTAAGACTGATATTACTTACAACTGATTTGCAAGGGTTTTAGTGGCCATAATACTCGTATGTTGTACAGCAACAGTTGTGGCAGTTTAGCCCTCAAATCAATGCATCTATGTGTGGGTGCATAAGTAAAAATTTACCCTGTTTTGTCCAAAGTGTACCTTAGTAAAGATCCGAGGGCACTTTGGACAAACCAGTGCTGAGGCGACGATGATAGGCCTATATCTATGGCTAATGACATTGGTGAATTTCTCTAATTTTAGTTAAACTCTTCGGTAAATTTTTACTTTAAATGCACCCACACACAGCTATGCATTGATTTGAGGGCTAAACTGCCATAATTTTTGCTGTAGAACATACGTATGGCCAGTAAAACCCTTGCAAATCAATTGTTTTCAAGTAAATTCAATCCTAATTTTGTCAAAACATCAAACCATTGTGAAATGCAGGGGGGGCATGCCCCCCCTGAAACCCCCCAGATTCTTTTTAGGTCAACCCCCCATGTTGTTAAATTTACTATTTTCAAACATCAATAATTCCATAACTATTGATTTGCGGCAAAAATGAAGACTATATTTCGTGTTCAGCATGCAAAAATACTACTTAAAAAAGAAGTATAAAATGTGAACATGAGACGTGTGTTTTTTATATAAGCAAAAATAACCCAACTCTTCTTTGGACCATTGTTCTTTATGATAGTCAGAGGGCATCTTAGCAGCGGAGTAGAATTTTCTCTGTGGTATAAAGATAATGTATGATGAATGGTAATATTGTTGTAAATTAGACAAAGTGACTGCACTTACTTTGAAAGGCTAATTGAAAGTTTTTCTAAACCAGGTTTCACTTTCAGTGTGAGCATATCTGTCATCAATTGTTTATTTTATATCTTGTTAGGCCTAATATAGTAATAGTCCATTATTTTTGTCCAAGAATGACTTCCTTTCTATTCATCAGTGCAATTCATTAGCACTTTCTCTTTGGCCTCATCATGCCCAGTTGTTGTACTTTTCTCATAGTGTGTTTTTTCTTTACTCAGATCTTAGTATAAACTAGCAGGCTGTTTTGCTGAAACTCATATTCATCAATCGAAGAAAATACATTTATTTTACGACAATCAATCATGGGGAAAACAAGTGAAGATATCACACCTACCGAGGCTGGAGCAAGTGAAAAATTATCCAGTGGTGGAGGAGGAGGATCACAGCTGAGCATTACCTTGAAAAAACAGCTGGGACTTCTGAACGGAGTCGCCATCATCATCGGGATTATCGTGGGCAGCGGTATCTTTGTCTCTCCAAAGGGAGTGTTGCTAGAAGCTGGTTCTGTAGGGCTATGTCTGACAGTGTGGGCCCTGACCGGTGCGGTGTGTAGCATTGGAGCTATGTGCTACGCCGAGTTGGGTACCTGTATTCTCACGTCTGGCGCTGACTATGGCTACATCATGCAGGCTCACGGCGACCTCCCTGCCTTCTTGTTCCTCTGGGTTTGCCTTGTGGTGATCATTCCTACGGGAAATGCCATTACAGCATTGACGTTTGCCAATTATATCTTACAACCTTTTTTCCCGGACTGCGGACCTCCTCAAAATGCTGTGACATTGTTGGCAGCTCTTTGCCTCAGTGAGTATTTTTTGTCATATATGATAAAATTTGCATTATGCTTGTTATTTATAATATACATGACATATTTATTATTTTTTACGCCCACTCCTGCCCACCCAGCAGTAATGGGTACCTGACTTTGAGTTGGGGAAGTAAAGGCGGCGTGGAAAGGAACTGGCCACTCTACCGCAATATGCCAAAGGCCCAGGAAGTTGTCTCACTAACAAGACAATCCCCAAAGTCCGGATCGGATGCGGGAACAACTTTACTTTTTAAAATTATATTATTAGGTTATAACTTTTAGGATTGGTGATACAGGAAGGGAAAGGTGGAAAGTGTTTGTTTGTGGCTTACTCTGACCCAGCAGGTTGAGAGAGACAATGATGATCGTCAGTGATCTTCTCTGTTTCAGGTCCGGCATTTGATTTGAAGGAGAAGAATTTTTATTTTTAAATTAAGTTTTAAACAATAAAAGCAATTTTGTTCCACTTCAAAAGTATTTTCCGAAACAAATTTCCTAAAACAGATTCCGCATCTCTTTCTGTATGTAGTGATTTTCTGGTACAGAGTGTCTTTCTTTCTGTTTTTCTCTCACTCTCCTACTGTTTCCCTCTGTTTCTCTCTGTGTCTCAATCTCTCTCTCTCTCTCTCTCTCTCTCTCTCTCT